GTTCAAGCAACCTCTTTAAGAGTTTTGTCTAGCAAAACACTTAAAACTCCTGCTTAACTTTGAGCATAAATCTAATGCTACTGAAGTCAATGAAACTACTCAAATGCTTACTGGAGCAAAGCCACAGTGCTTGACATCTTGCAGAGTTGAATCCTGAAGAACTGAATAGGGGGAGAGGCTGTGGCTCTGTGGCACATGCCAGTCTCCTTGGGGGACTCCAGGAGGCTCTCTGTAGGACTTCTGTATCATGAGTTTAGGTGGGTTGAACCTGACGAAGAAGCTGTTCTGTGATATGTTGCCTCTTCAAAGAGCCCAATCCAACACCGGTTGAGGTCCACAGGCTCAGTCAATGGACAGATTTTAACAAGCATTGAATTGGGCCCCGCATGGAGTGACTGATAGAACCATGGCCTCTTAGTGAATTTACTACCTCAATAAAGGGAAAAATAAAAAATAGCAAAAAGATTTATAATTTTCCAGGATCCCCAACAAGTGGAGACAGAAATGACCAAAGTAAAAATAATCTGAGTTATTAGCACATTTCATCAGAAGACTAGTTTTCAGGATAATTGTACACTCAAGAAAAAAAATTGTTCAACCCAAGTCCTGAATGCCTTCTTTGCAAAGTTGATGTAATATAAAGTTAAAACATTTAGTCACATCATCATCATCACACTTCATATTTTCTTAAGTCTGTATGTCAAATCTTTATTTTACTAAGCACTGTGGAAGTGAAGAAAACATTTCTCTATCATCATGATAAAATAAATTCTAAAAACCTATATGTGTTGCTGTGTACTTTTGGTTTTCTTTGCACATGATGGGTGTGTGATGGGGGGATGTGGTATTTGCAGGAAGTGGGTGGGAAGGAGTGTGGGGGAAGGCAGGTGGGTGCGTGGAGGGCTGTGGGTTGGTGTGGGGGTAGGTGTGGGGCGATTGCTGGGGGGGACTATGGGTGTGGGGGACCGCTCAGGAGGGGTGGGTCCCCACAGGGTGCAGCCCCCCTCCCCCCCCCAGCACATGGAATGCACCCCCCCTCAGGGTCCCATGCACCCTGGAGGGCCACAGCACCGCCGTCCAGGGCCCATAACTTACCTTTAGCAACAGCAGCAGCAGGAGTGGGGTACTCTGAGCAATGGCAGCAGGACCCAGTGCAGCACACGGGAACCGCGCGCTAGGTTCTGCTAGTCCTGGGGTGTGTGCGCCGCCTGGCAGGGCTGGGTCATGGTGACAGGACCCAGAGCAGGATGCAGGGACCCTGGCAAGTGAGGACTGCATGCCAGGCTCAGCCACCCTTGGGGCCTTTCTGCTGCCTGGCCAGGCCTGGCCATGGTGCAGGACCTGGTGCGGCACGTGGGAACCGCATTCTGGTCCCAGTCGGGTCCTGCCACCCTTGGGCCCCTCTGCCACCCAGCTGGGAGGAGCAGCCGCAGGGCCAGCAGGACCCGTCTGGGCGCAGTACACAGTCCACACGCGCTGTGGGTCCTGCCACCATGGGAATGGCCCAGCCAGGTGGCAGAGGGGCCCCAAGGGTGGTAGGACCTGGCTAGGCCTGGCCCGTGCTCCCCACATGCCGCGCTGGGTCCTGCCACCAAGAGCCCAGCCCCAAGGGTGGCAGGACCCGGCTGGATGTGGTGTGCGGGCCCCACACGCTGTGCCAGGTCCTGCTTCTGCCCCACTGTGCCTTCAGGGGAGTGGCACGCGGCGGGGCTTGGGCCAGCCCCATGTGGCTTGTTAGTCCAGCTTTGCACCAGAGTGGGTCACATGGCTCTGGGAGGCACAGGTTCTGTGTGTGCCTCCCGGAGCCCTGTGACCCACTCTGGCTCACTAGTCCAGCTTTGCACTGCACGGGGCTGGGTCCATACCCCACACAGCCCCGGGGCCATCCTCCCTGCCACTCCCCAAGCCCCCCCGCCAGGCTCAGGCTGACACCAGAGTGTCTCTTTTGAAGAACTGACTCCCTAGCACGGTCTGCCTTGCTCCGCTCTTCTGCAGAGCGGTTTTTTTAGACCCCTGTATATCCAGAGGTCTAATTTTCTCCCTGCGCTGCAAGACTGCAGTGTGGGGAACATTTTTTCATTCCCACACATGCCTCTTGCCCCGCCTCAAAGGGGTTTGAGACGGGGAAGAAGCATGTGTGCGCTCGTCTGGATGTGCCTACTGAGCCTCTGACCTTAGTGATGCGTTGTTGACTGAGTTTTACAAAGATCCATTTCATAAGATTTTCTATTGTCAGTTTAAGTATTACCTTTCATTTTTATTGACCATTTCCTTTGTTCTTTCACTATGTAGAAAGATGACTCAGTACATCTATAATTTTTCCTATGCTATTCATAATTTTATATACCTCTATAATAACCACTAGTATTCGCTTCCCTTCTGAATCAGTTTCAAATCTTTTTAGTATCTTGTGATACTGAAATCTTTTCTATGCTACTATAATCCATGCTTCTAGGACCACTACTATTTCTCCTATATCTATTTTGAGCTAGGGATAATCAGCCTTTCAAGGAAAATTTTAGATGAATACATACCATTTTTTAATCATCGCTTTTCTAGCATTCTTGAGTTTTTGACCCTACTAAACACCGAGCTAAAGTTTTCACTGAACAGTCCAGAACAAGGGCTTGGGTCCTTCTTCTAACCAGTTCAATTAACTTAGAAATCAAAACAGGTTTAAAGCTGTTCACGTGTGCATTACCTTGCATTTCTCAACTGTGAATTTCTTCTGCTATCGTTGCTGCTCATTTGCTTAGCTTTGTTGTGTTCTTCTGAAGTTCTTCAAAGTACCTAGTTTTGACTGACCTAAATAACTGTCATCTCAAATTTTGCTACCTCACTCTTGATCCTTTTTCCAGACTATTTGATAAACACATGTGCTAGTACAGAACACTGGTACAGCCAATATTAAACTTTACTATGTTATACATATAAGATTTATTCCTGTTGTTTTCTGCATTTGAGTTATTTTCCAATCAGTGACAGTATATCTCACCTTGAGACTAGTTTCCCTAATAGCTGCCTCTAAAGGATTTTGTCAAGAATGTTGAAAATTCAAATCCATATTAAATAGGTATTTATTCATAATATTCTTGACAGACTGAGAGAGTTCTAGTAGATTAAGGAGATATAATTTTACTTTGCAGAAGCCATGTATATCTTATTCATGTGTGACAGGTACTAACACCCCAGGTTGTGGGCCAGATACAGCATCCAGCATCATGTCATCCCCTTGTAGGTTATGGCCTTGTGCACTAGATCAGATGCTTTGGGGCTCCCAGAGCTCAATCCCAGTATGCAGGACTGGGTGGTAGAGCCTGGTCCTGGTGGCAGGGGCTCTGGAATTCGATCCTGGCGCACAGGGTTATTTTTGGCCCCTGGACCGCCTGAAACCCTTAATCTGGCCACAGGACCAAAAGGTAGAGTGCCTCTGATGCAAGTGATATACTATTTTAAAATCACTATTTCAACAACTTCAGGTTCATTGGGTGTGTATTCTGTAGGACTTCCCTTCTAGTCTTCAGACAGGGCAACTGATTTTGATGAGACTGCATGTAGAAGCAGCTTCTTAAATTCACTTAGAGCTGTTAGATTCATTCCATCTGGTCCTGGTGATCTGTTGGTTGTTTTTTATTCCAACAGTTTGGTCAAGTCCTCTTTTGATGCCTCAAATTCTGGTACCACCTAATCTTTATTATCTGAATCGTGATGAAAAAAGTGGTTATTTTTTTCTTCAGTATCCTTAACTCTTCAGCAGGTACACCAGCTACTTAAAAATCACTTCTTATTTTGATATACTAATGTTACAGTTAAATTAGTTTAACTGGGATCCTTTCCTTTAAGGAAAAGGTGTATATGTATATAGTTTCAGCTTGTTTCTCTTGGCTTTAGATGGGACTTTGTATGTGGTAAGTGTCATCATTTTACCCACCCCAAGTGCTTACGTTTCTTGGTTTTGTGAGTCCTTCCCTTAGCCACAAGAAACAGAAACCTATTTTTTCCATGAAGGAAAATGTAATTGTAAATATAAATATTGTAATATGAGAAAGTGCTTTCAAAGCATTAGTTGCTCCTCCCCTCCATCACCCTCAATTTATTTCTAAGCCCTTAAGAGACACTTTTTTATCAGGTAATTTTTTATATTTTGATATGCACTTCAAATGTCTTTCAGCCCTCTTATTTTCCAGAGGTTGTACACAATACATACCAAACTTAATGTTTCTGTTATACTCGATTCTCATCAGCTGGATTACCATTTACTGAAAGTACCTAGCTCAAATGACCTCCTGCCCTTCTATCTTGCCATTTCACCATACCGTTCCTGTCTCTCATTCTTGCTTCCTTTTTCTGTTTAGGGAGATCTGAATAATTTATATGTGTAATTTAAATGTGAATACGAACTTTTGAGGGGAGCTACCTCCCCTCAAGGGTTCCTCAGGCAAGGTACCAGAGGAATAAGGTAATTTTTGTCACCACCAATTAAAAACTTACGAAACAGGACCGTTATAAAACAATTAAACCTTGCAAATGTACTAGTCTCTAGGAGGGAAACCCTGGAGGAAATTCTGCTTATTAAAATTGCAATTTTAGTTTCCATTAAAAAAGAGAATAAGACAACAGAAGATGGGTTGGCAAGACAAATTATTTCTTAATGTCAGTTGAGCTTATTTCAAATGAGATAACGTATCTACACCAGGTTGGGTTCAGCACATTTCTGTCTCCTCAACTCATTTATCTAATTCAGTCATCTTGATTATAGCCTCATGGACCTGCATTTTCCGAGGAAGAATTTTGTAACAAACAACCTACACAACACGCTGATTACTGAACAGTTAATTCTAATTAACTTGGCTATGACAAGAGAATTTTGATAAAGTCCTAGAATACAAATACAGTTTGGTTATCCTGGACCAACTTCTAGAAAATAAAAACCCACAGCAGAGTCTCCAGATGAGACACCAGAGTGATAGAGATCTAATTTAAAGAAACAAATGAGAAAATTAAAATCACAAATAATTTATTCTTCCGTTAGAGTTGATGGAGTACAGTTTTAAATAGCAATGAAGTACACAGTGGTGGAAAATTGGCACAGCACCCACAAGCATTTCATTCATAATAATGCTCCTCATGCTTTATCTGTTCAAAGCTTGATGTGCATTTTCTATCAGTCAATTTAAAAAAAAAGAAAATTGCTTCCCTTTAAAAATAATGGACAAATTGAAACTTTTGCTTTTCATGTATAACAGTTGTTTTTTTTCCTGTTAAAACATCATAGCCAACTGTGAAAAAATTATTATTTTACTCCTGGGCAAATTTAAGTTATGTCTTTCATAAAGATTGCTAAGAATTCTTGAATATGTGTATTCCTGCATAAGAGAATATCCATGAACATACTTGAACTATAGCTGCAGGACGGTCTCGAAACCAGTTTGTGTACTATGCTATTGATCAAGGTGCTGCCTCTATCGTACATGCACCACTATAAGCATTAATGCAGTTCACAACAAAATTTGGCATTTACCTCACCAACAGTTTTATATTTGATATCCTAAAACATCCCTTGGTCTCATAATTAACCAGTAAGAAAATGGACACACACAAAAAATACCCCCTTTCTAAAAGATATTAACTCCCAGTTAAGAAAGTTTAGATAGAGGTTTTACAAAAGTCTTCTAGGCTATTTTGTTACATACAAATTATTCAACTAAAGATTAAAATACAGTTATACAATACAGTTTGACCTGTTCTCAATATTAGGTTTTTAAAATTTTTTTGCATATTCAAGCCAGATAAAATTAACACTTGTCATACTCTTTGTTACTGCAATTAGAAAGGGATTACAGCCTGCTTTCTTGGAAGCTGTGACAAAACACAGATCCAATCCAAACACTTCTTGTTATCAAAAAAGTTGAAGAAAATTGTCAAACTACGTTAGAAACCATCTTTACAAAAATGATTTACTCAGAAAAATCTGAAAGCTTAAAAAATTAATCTTTTGCACAAGACTATGTTATACTTTCCTCGATTACCTTCCCATTTAGATAACTGGAATTCAAATTCATTGTACAAAACCTTCTCAGTGATGTATGGTGCACTTTGTTTTCACCTTTACCTTTATTGTACACCATATTGAGACCGACAATCAAGCATTTATTTAATTTATTTACCATGTCCTAATCCACATTAACAGCAGATTTCTGATCCTGCCCAGTGAGTAGTGTACGTCTTGCATATTCACCACATGAAAAACATAATATACAAAATATTGCTGTTGTAAAAAGTGTGCATTTCCCCCTTCCCCTTACAAAAAAATCTGTGGAAAAAATATTAAATTCCCATAACCTTCATAAACATACAAAGCTGTTCACACCTTTCAGTCTGTAACAGTCTATTTGATACACAGTTCTGAACTCACTGAAAACTGGTTATGTCAAGGTATTTTCTGTCCAATATTGCCATCTAGAGTAGAGATGTGAAATTTGAGTATCTGAGAGTCGACAGCCTTTAATAACTAGCCCATAAAGACCGTATACTGTAGAACAGCCGTTTATGCACCAGATTTTTCCAAAAGCTAGATGGAACGAGAGGTTCTCTTCACAGGGAGATGTCCACAGTGCTGAGGAGACACATGGCTGCTAAATAGATACTGGCTACTGGAATGTTAAGTACTTTCTCATTGCTGATAGTTTCCATACTGCCCCTACAAAAGAAATTAAAAGGACAAACAAACAAGCCATGATTAAACATGATTTACTTCACCATCGTGTAAGCCCGGGGTGTCTGTTAAACATTAGGTCTGGGGGAGAGCTCACTGCCATGGCTGCCAGAGTCCCAGAGGCCGCAGCAATAATCCCCAGAGCCAGTGTGGCTCTGGAACCCAGTGAGCTAACATCACTTGCCTTTCCTCCGCTTCCCTGACTGAAATTGTGGTTTTAGTCACCCCTGGGAACCAAGATCGGCAGCAATGTTGGGGGAGCGGTAGCAAGTTCACCTCTACAGGTTTTAGAGCTGCACTGAAACAGCTGCTCTGGCAGCCATGGGGATTAATGTTGCTGCCACCACTCATAAGCCATCTGGTCCATGGGGAAGTACCATGGTCCAGATCCAGCCCCTAGGGCCCAACAAGTTTGACAATGCTGGTGTAAGCTAAAACAAGGTGGTCTCCAAAGAAGTTATAAAACGAAGAAACATACACATACTGGATAACATTCCTGATATCAATTCACCATGTAGTAAGTTGATACGTGTTGTTTCATCTCGAAAGTATTTAAATACTGATAGTAAATTACACAACTAATTATAAAGGTTTATGGCCTGGAACTTAGACCTGTCTAACTGGTATTCTTTGAATTGAATACGCTATCGAGAAACTTGTGAAATACCTTCTTTGCACAAAAGAACAAAATGAAAACAACATCTTCTAAATTTCCTCTCTGTGCCCCAATAAGCCAAAAGACTTAAACAGGGTAACTGAATTCACAAAAGGGTATGAAAAGCTTCTTTTTGTGCAGTAGTATATCTATCACTCCCCAACCAATGTGGAAGCCTCGTAGAATGGACTGATGCACAAGTCTCACGAATCTGTGTAAATCAAGGCGCATCCAGAAACCTGTAAAGATGGAGGCAGATAAACTGTCTGACACGAATCCTAATTTGCTGATCTGTTCCATAGAAATTGATGGAAGGCTCTTACATGGGAAGTGAGAGCAGTGGCATTAATACATGCTTCCCATGACCCATCACAATCCCCTTTGCAGTGTAGAATTGAGGATTGGCAGAGTGGACAGCACATGCCTGAGACTGATCACTCTCCACAACACTGTTCTCTACAATCCCACGTAGCTAACACAGCACAAAATAAATGTTGATAATGCCAACATTACCATACACCATCACTTCCTTTTACTGTAAAATGCCACCTGCCACAGATGAGGCTTTCAATGATGCTGCCAAGAGAACTGGACAGCTGCTGCTACAGAGAAGTGGGAAGGCTTTCCACAAACAGACTTCCCCTTGGAACTTTGGTTATTTTTGCCAATTGGCTATTTTTGGCTACTGGAAGACAAGGATCTTTCCCTCTTTCAGTGGAATGATCTGTAGGAAACTCAACAAGTTGAAATGGACTTCCCTTGCCCTTTCTTCCTTCAAAGCAACTATTTTTCTACACGTGTTACCTGCATAGCAAACTACTACTTCCCTGCACAAAAGCTATAAATGTCTCTTTTTTTTCCTTAAGAATTCAAGCAAAAAAACCAGATGCACTTCTAAGCGCTTAAGTTGAAGGCTTTGTTGTTCCTTTTTTTCCTTTCCTTTCTAACATATTTCTAACAGAGCGCGCGATGTGTTCCCCTTGAAGGAACATAACATAATTCTAGCCCCTGTTGCTTCCATGGGAAATGTTTTTTCTTGTTGAAACTCCAAATCGCTGCTTATGAACAAACTGCAGTTGCATATATGTACCCAGGAGAGAGACTATACCCTCAAAATTCATTAATAAAACCTACTCCAGCCAGATACAGTAGTAAAATAAAAGGTACAAGAATTAGTAAGTTTTCCAAACAAAATTGTACCTGGTCATATCCATAAGGCCTCTGTTGTGGTGGCTGTGGTGGCCCAGGCTGGGTGGGCCTGTATCCCCCATACTGCTGGCCTTGCCCTTGGGGGTAATTAGGATACTGAGGTCCTGGACCACTTTGTGACGGACCTGAAAATGAAAACAAGTTGAGAAAAAGGAAAAAAGGGAAAGCAAAATGGTAAAAAGACTGAATGAACTAGAAACACACCAAAAATATCACCATTCCTTAATGAGATTAATGAGGTCACTACCTACATCAAACAAGTACCCTCTTGCATTGTACCATCAAACAAGTACCCTACATCAAACAAGAGCCCTCTTGCATTAAGACATAATTATAAACATAATTCTGAGGCAATAAGAATGTTCTCTGTGCAAAGGATACATATCTTTTAGCAAATTTTGCTAAATAATACTTTTCACATTTCAAAATGTATAGTTTTGGGGGGTTTTTACATAGAAGATGAACTTCAGCAACTTGAAATAAACAGTCTGAATTTTAATTATTGAATCCTTATTTTTAATCAGAGCAAAAACGCAATTACAGTGCAATTAAGGTAATCAGTTTTCTATTCTGGTTTCATCATGCCCGTGTGACTCTCTTTAGAACATGCCTTAACTCTAGTTAGCAGATGTCTACTGTAGGGTAAGGAGAGGGACAATCTCAACCATTCAGGTTGTTTGGAGAGCTGGGAGAGGGAAGGAAGAGAGACAGCCTACCCTATCCTTTCTCTGCTGCAATTAGGAGAAAATGCTTTTTGTTTCCCCTGGAGGCTCCCTTTTTATTACCGCTCATACAAGGTTGTCTATCATCTTTCCAGCTCATCTACCCAAAGGAAGACTGTATCTTGCTACTGACAGGCAGAGCAGAGATGTTCAAAACAAAATGTACTTCATTTCCCCCATGATGGAAAGATAGGGTGGAAGACCACAGGATTCATTACTATTCCTTATGAAATAGAGGCGTTAGGGTCCTTTGTGATAGTTACATTCTGTGGTGTCTTTTCTTAAAGGCCAAGTTTGCAACTGGCAAATGAATTCTTGCTGTTACCCAGGGAAGAAGACCTATTTCTATAGAAAACTAGAGCAGATGAGAAATTAACTTGATTCAGTGCTGGCAGGTGTATATTTTTATCTATATGCAATGAGCACTGAGATGTCATCAGATGTTACTGTTTTGGTAATTATGGACTTGTGAAGAAGTTATGATATTCAACCTTTTCCCTCTGCAAGCTGGATAGACAGTGCCCAGTCCATCTGTAGGCCAGATCTTCTTGATGGCCCTGCCCACAGATGGGTGCACTGGGCACCATCCAGCCACGCAGAGGAGGGAGGAGGAGTAGCCCAGCCCTACAGGGAAAAGGGAGCATGGCTTGGCCCTGTAAGGGGAAAGGAGGTGTGGCCCATCCCCAACCCATCTCTGCAGGGGGTGGGAAGGGAACATGGCCCAGCCCCAACTCAGCCTTGTGAGGGGAAAGTGGGTAAGAGCCAGCCTGGAACCAGATGTGGAGGGGTGGAGGGGGTGTGGCCTGCCCCATGGCAGGAGGGATGCACAGCCTGGCTCTGACCAGGCTGTGAGAGGCTTGGAGTTTCAGAATTTGGTGGGGTAGGGAACGTGGCTTTATTAATGGCCACTGCTCCCCTGCTGCCAAATTCCCTGACTCAGGGGAAGCTCCCAGGCCAGATTCCAAGGATTTACAGGCTGCATTAGGCCAGTGACCTGGAAGTTGAACATACTTGATCTAGAGGAGAAAAGCTCCATGCCCCATCACCATTCTTCTCAGGCATCGAGTTGATTTGAACTATTCAGTTTGAGCTCTGTGCCATACTTATAATGGGACAAAACCTTGAAGATTGATAATAATGACTGAGATCCTGATTGCAAATTAAGTAGTTTTGCAAATTAGCAAGCAGATAAATATTAATAAAGCAAGGAGACCAAATGTACTTTGTTTAGCTGACAAACGTAGCTCAGTCTTATTTATGATGATTCTTTTAGTATAATAGCAAAACACTTGGTAATAGATTTCGTAAAAAAAATGATATCTTAATTTGAGACTTCATTATCCGTTTCTGCTAAAAATCAGAAATTGAAAAGTGAACTGGTTTGGGTACGCAAATTATGGGATGTGTTGATAGGCAGTTCTATAATATTGTTTCATCCCTTTTTATAGTTCTTGTATAGAACCAAGATTTGCAGAATATAAATGCAAGAAAAACCTGAGAGATTATTTATTGGCATTTTTTAACATGCATATAACAGAGAAGCCTCAACTTAGAGAAGTTTCCTATTTTAAAATCTTACTCCAGGCCTTAACACTTTATCACAACCATCAGTGTGCTAGATCTGATGTGAAGCTAGGATTTGTATATGCAATCAAAATTGTGCAAGCACTCCCACATAAAAATCAGGTATGTATCGCTTTCTATGTTTCTAGTCCTGAATATCCCAGCACTTCATTCCCTAACAAGGCTAAAAGAAAAAATATGGCATTGATTTTGAGAGTCACTTTTGGAAAGGATGTTTCTCTTATGATAACTGGGCAATTTGTTACATTATGCAAGTAAGAAACATTTAGAGTGGTCCACACTTTGGAATGCTGTTCTGGTTCAAAGTATTAAGGGAAAAACACCCCACAAAGACATAAGCTACCATGCCGAGCTTTTCGTAAGGAGCGTGTTCTTAAACACCAACAGTAAAAAACTTCTCAATGATAAAGCTAGTTTTTTTTTCCATTATGGTAGTCCTGCAAAAATTAATTAATAAAAAAAGCCGGACCTTTTAAAATTTAAGTTGAATCCTGGTAAACATACTTTGGATGATATTTTGTACTAATCTTTACAGGTGCAGCACAGAAATTTCAGCCCAAGGAAGGTGGGATTAAGATGGCTTTATTCTACCTTGGTGCCATTTCCTGATTCAAGGGTTTCTTCAGGGTCCGGGAAGACCCCAGCATAATTTAGGGCAGTGATTTTCAACCAGAGTACTACAAGATCCTTTTAAGAGTGATACTGTTAGGTGTGCAAACACCTACCTACACAATTCAAAAGATAAAGAGGAATCCATAGTGTCAAAACCATTCTGACCTGTTGTGTTCTTTCTGAGTTCTTTGCAATGAAAGAATTGCACTATTATTATTATTATTTTTTTAAATACATAAAAAGAGTGAAAACAAAGAGCTGGTATTTTCTGAAGGGTGCCCTGAGCCTAACCTAGGGTGTCTTGAGTTAAAAAGGTTGAGAAACATTGACTTAAGGCTTGCCTACATTGCAGAGCTGTATTTCTATAGCCATGTTGGACTTTCGTAGTGGAGACCAGCACAAGGGGCTTTTCGGCTAACAGTAATATTACCACTTTAAAACATGTTCTGAGCCGCATATGTGGCACCACGCACTGCACATGCAGTCATTCCCCACGCTACTACCTTGCAGCACAAGGCTTTTTTCTGACATAGGGAGATCCTAGGGCTAAAAAAAACCCATGCCAAAAAAAGCAGGGCAGTGCACATATGGCAGCGCATGCTGCCCAAAACTGGAGCCTGGCTGGCCGGAGCCACACTCTGGCTGCCAGCCAGATTCCCAGCTGCAGAAGCACCACAGTGGTAGTTCCTGAGGCCCCCAATAAGGCTACTGGGGCCAGCACAGTTGCTGGCCCCAGCCTCCCCTACTTCACCTGGGGTAACCTGCCACACACCAGAGCACACGTAAGACAGGTGTTCCATAGGGACAAGTAGCAGCAGCACAAGGTGTGCCACTGCTACTTGTCCCCAGGGAAACAAATGTCTGCACTCATCTGGATGTGGCCCTGGATTCAATTACAGATGCCTTCTTTATGGGCTGCAACACTGCCTGAAAAGTCTGCAGCTGTGTGTGTTGCAGCCATGCTCTGCCCAAATGTCCCTAGCTCCATCTTGCCAGCTGGAACCAGTCCTCCTCTTGCCCCCGCAGAAGACATCTTCTGCAGTGCCTCTGCTGGAGGAGTCCTATACCAACCATGGATGTGGCATCAAGGGCCAAATTATCTAACACCTTTTATCCAGTGCTGAGACTCTTATCCTGAAGTCAACATTGTGTAAATTATCTTGTCTTCAGCTACTTACCATAACCCTGTTGTTGTCCAGGATAACCTTGCTGGCCTGGGTATTGCTGCTGTTGTGGTGGATAACCTTGCTGCTGAGGTGGTCCTTGATATGCATCTTGTTGTTGACTGTACTGAGAGTTTCCTGTAAGATGATTGCAAGAAAGTACACAATTAAAGATATCTGCTACTTTTCCTTATTGCTGCTAAGATGCACAGCCAACACCACAAGAACAAAATGAAAATGCAATCTTGATTTCAAAAAATGAACAAAACAAAGAAAACTCAAACCAAACAGAAGGAATTCGGCCAAACAAACTGCAGTTAAAGCCAATTTTGCAAGGGTGAACTGCAGCATTTTCAGCATCTCTGCCAAACGAGCATTACATTTACTGGAACATCACAGTCATAAGATCATGACTATGCTAAATAAAATAAAAAAGACAAAAATTAAAGACAGCTACAAGAGCACAGACTAGCTACACAAGATCAGCAAGCTGTTTCCTAATAGCACTATATTTATATACACACACAAAAAAATACAACTGAACCAATGAATTTATGTTTAAATTAAAAAAAAAAAAAAAAAAATTCCATTGAGGGGGGAAAAAAAATTCTCTAACGGTGTTTAGTCATTTTACTGTTGTTAGAAATGGCAAATTATGATTATACATTTTAGGTGTTTGCAATAAATTATTTTGAATGCTTCAAGATCCCTGCAGTTTTCAAGACAGCCAGCAACTAGTATTCTACAAGAGCTTTGCATGGGTATAAGTTGTCTTGTGCAAGAATTTTTGTTCCAGTTTGGGGTGGGGGAGGAAAGGGAATGTATGTGCGTATGTGTGTGAAGGTATATAGATACCTCCTTCGTAGTAATGTTGTGAGGAATCCTCATAAGGCCTATCGTAGCCTTGTTCAGGATACGACGGTTGCTGATAACCGTAATCATTATGACCTACATCAATTCGACAAGAAACAGGAAGAAACGTTAATGGCCTCTGAGTGAAAACCCTAAAAAGTATTTCATTTTTCAGAAAAATGAAAAAAAAAAAATCAACTGGAAATGCATAAAAATGAGTTTTCAATTTTATTAGCCAAAGATTTAACAATATGATTTCATTTCATATTGAATTAACATGTGACGGGGGGGGAAAAAAAAAAAAAGCTTAATGCAGTAGTTTTATCAACATCACAGCAAGGGATGGTCTTAACCTTCTGATAATCCTTGTTGGGGGAAAAAAACTTTATCTTTTATTCAAAAAAATGAAAGCATTTAGGCCTTTCACATGTAAATAACCTGAATTAAATTAGAATGAACAAAGGAAGCAATTATCATACTTTGTCTAACACCTGTTCTGCTGATCTCCAATTCAAAAGCATATGCTAAAAGCAGTGTGAAATATAACAAATAAAGCTCAATGAAGTTATGAATCACATTCTATATTAATTTTTTCACTGAAGTGTCAGAAAAAAAATTCTCAAGGCTGATTCTTCCCTACAAACGGTATTCATGGGAATCTTAAGAAACTTTTCCCATAGAGAATCTTGTGTCAGTATAATCATTAGGAAAGAAACTTCATTTTCAGAGGCTGTGGGCACCTCCAGTTTAGGAACAAATACATGAAATACATACACTACCTGTTAGCTGTTTTAAAGACCCAGTATATTTCTCCTGCAGATGACTATGATCTACTATGTCATTACATCCATGTTCTACCATCTATTATGTCATACCATCCTCCTGTGAAATTCAGTCCTGAGACCAAGCCTAATATTTTGTTAAAACTTGTTCTAAAATTTTATCCATGTGGGCAAATTGTGGAGGGAGGGGGGTGAGCGTGGGGTGGGTAAGGACTTCTACAAATAAATGGTTTTCACATTTTGTTCTCCACCTGTACCTAGGCTCTTACACAGTCATTAGCACAAGTTTTTTAGAGTACTATTATATCCATTTCCGTTTACCAGTAATATCTCAAGTAAATGGAATATTTGAAAGGAATGGATGTTGTAAATTCCTCTATGCTGCTATGCAATTCTCAATGCTAATGTTCAGTTAACTATATTAAAATGGTTATATGTAACTTGCGTTTAAGTTATACAGGTCATTCAATTAACTTGTATATTTTTGTACAGAGTAAACAATCAGGTCATGTGTATAACATAACGGATCCAAAATTAAAGCAGAAAGTTCTAGTTTAACTTAGCTTCCGAAATATCCTTGAGTAACTTTGTTTGAAAACACTACATATTAAGTCAATATGCAGTCGTTTTGAAACATGACTAAATTAGCTTATTTTAAAAAATTAAATCTTAAAAAAATGAAGTACATAGTTTAATTTGGTTTATTTTCAACAAACAGCTATTCTACAATGTTCATAGGTTAGCTCCACACCTGTTTATAGAACTACTACAATATACAGTGTTCTTCATGAGACAGCATTAAGTGGAAAGCAGGGTTACCTACCACAGTACCCATAAATCAACCAGTATTCTTCTACAAATAGATTCTGTTCTCCCTATTTCTCCTCAACCTAAATGCAAAGCTAACCTCCCTTCTAGCTTACAGTTCAGCCTCCTCTACTTTTTCTTATTTCAAGTACAGTATATATATGGATCCCCAACTTCAAAGAGATAATAAGACTGATATATGCAATTGTAACTCAAAGCCTGATTCTGAAAGCACAGGGGAAATTCCACCAGAGGGGACTTATAGAATCAAGCCCATAAGTTAAGAATTTTTAAGAACAGGGGCCTTCATATGCCTTTGTAAAATGTTATACATACTTACAGCTTGTGCCAATAGCAGCATCAAAATGTTTGTGAAATTTGTTTTTAAAATGAAAAGAAGTGATGGGGTAAGACCAATAATAGCCCTCTCCTTGTCTTTAAAAAAAAAATGTTTCCATTTCTATATATACCTGATTAAAATGCTATCTCCCCATCTCTCTCATGTGCAATATTATCAAATACACCAACAGAAAGCAAATGATACCATGGCTGCTTTAATTCTGATAAACTATTCTAGATATACTGAAGAACCCACCATATTTGTAGCTAAAGAGAATAATGAGAATTCTCATTATGGAATAGGAAAAGCAATGTTATGTTGTCAAAGTAGAAGTATTACAAATGATGTACTTTGAGTGAGTTAGCCAATCTTAGTGTCTTAAACTACAGTAAACTTACTATGATACCAACTGTGAATTTGGAAGCCTTTGAAAATGCAATCTGTTAAGGTGATCAACGACTACTTTGCCCCATTCTACAGTTTTTGGGTAGCTGGCTACAGTAATATTGGGCAGGTATAGAACATGGGAAAGTTAACATTACGAGAAATTACCATCAGGGTAATATTGCTGGTTCATGCCTTCTGGAGGACCTTGTCCACCATGACTGTATTGGTCCCCATAATAGTCTTCCTGGCCTGAGTACTGCTGTGGTGGGCCTGAAAAACCACAACCAGTCAATACGTAAATATCTTGTTTGTCTTTTTTGTTATCAAGTTTGCTAATTTCTGATTTTAGTACGAGAAGTATTTCTCAGATTGAATTCCCAATCCCAACATATGTTGCATTTCAGCCAACATACGTAATCTTCTGCTTTAGTTTTCAGTTTTTGTTAATATAAATATACAGTTGCTTGACTGCAGTTGACTACATCATACATGTCAATCTATCTCAGAGTACATTTTAATAACAAGTGTACAACAGCAACAGCATTAAGATATGTATTAGAAAAATATATGCTATCTTTCTAAAAGGGCTGCAGTTAAGAAGGAAAAATAAATAAATAAAATCAGATCACGGATTATATTTTACCTTACTGTTTTGAGAAAATTTAGTGTTTGAAATAAACAGAAAATGAAAAAATAGTGCTTGAGAAAATTTAGAATCAAGTAAGTTGCTTTGCTCCTTTCTATATACATCAAGCTTTTGGGGAAATCAAACTGAATTCTACTTCATACAGTAGTATATCTGGCACGCGCACTTTTTGGAAACCCTTTTTATATTCAGAAAAGAGCTCGAAACAGAGGGATATACATGTTTGTATAACTCATGTTGAAACGTGTAATATTTTCTGCTAAAAGAACTATTCTTACAAGAAAAAACTGGAGACAAAAGCAACCCTGAAATGTTACTTGATAACACCAAAATATGTCAAGTGAACAAGAAATAGATTTAAAATATTTTCCAAGGTAGTTATTTAAACTAATGTAAAAACCTTGCCATACCATCTTACCTTGCTGGGGTGGCCTGTATGGAGGAATCTGTCTCTGACCCATCAAGTGATTTCCTTGGTTAACTTGGCCCATCATTCCCATTGGTGGCTGCTGTCCCTGGTAATGTTGCCCACCTCCCTGTGGCATATTGTATTGTTGGGAAGGAGGCTGCTGGTGCATCATTGGACCTGCATAAGAAAAAACAAAGCTATATATTTTCTGTAATACCTGATCTGCAATTAAAATAGTTTAAACATGATGGTTAGATAAAAAAAAGAAACAATCTAGTTATTGAAAGCTACCCTGCCCCCTCCCCAGAAAGAGCACCTTCTGCTTTTGGATCTACAAAAATTGAACTAACTAAATTAATGACAAATTTATTCGACAGATAATGTGCAAAATGGTGAGGATCAATTTTGCAAGATTTTTTTGCTACTGAACAGTGAAAAAATTATATTGAAAAGCAGGGTGGAGGGGGGGAAGGAAGAGCGAGAGAAAATTACATAGGCAGACAAGGTTCCTTGGGTGAATTTGATATCTTTTATTAGACCAACCCAAATGGTGGAGCACACACCAACTGCTTAGCCTGATGAAGGGTTTTTGAACCCGAAATCTTGCTTAATGACTATTCTCCAACCATTTGGGTTGGTCTAATAAAAGATATCAAATTCACCCAAGGAACCTTGTCTGCCTATGTCCTTAGACCAACACGGCTACAACCCAAACCCCTGCAACATAGAAGATTACATAGTTATTTTTGTTTATAATAGAAAAATCATCTTTAAATAGCAATCACAGGTGAAAACCTGATATTAAATGGAAATCTTAAGTCACTAGCAAACAAATAGAGGGAGTTAATACACATATGTTTATTCAACTTTTAACTGCTGCTTCAATGTAGGAATGTTCTGAAAATGTTTGATTTATGGCTGGATATAGGTTATCTGTAATTTATGGAAAGATGCAGTCTACAAATGTTACTTAGACTGTAAATTCATTGGGACCAGGGGCAGTATTTTTTGTTACAAGTTGAGCTCAAACAGGTTATAGTTTATCATTGGGTGTTACCCACAATACAAATAACTATAATAATAAGTCTAAGAGCAAATCATTACCAACTCAGACAATTCAGTTAAGACTAACCCCAAAAAAGAAATTTAGAAATATTAAGGCATAAGATTGGCTCACAACAGCAACTAAGTAACTGTAACTTTGCTCAATGTTGTTATCAGACAAAAATCATACAATTATGATTAAACCATTTTATTCTATATCATTACATAAGAGATTGAGCCAGTTATAAAACAAAAGAAAAAAAAAACCCAAATACTAAATTTTCCACTCTTTTCATGGCATCACTATATAACAGAGTTAAGATACAAGATATGAGAAAGTTTTAAACAATATTAAAAAAGTTAAAGAGCCTATATATTATGTCACTATTACAGTATTAGGAACAAAAATCTCTAACACAGCAGTAGATTTCTCAAATAACATTTTAAAGTTAATTGCATTGTCTTGTATTGCATGTTGTTTCTTTTGCCTTTTTTTTTTTTTTTTTTTTTTAAATGGTCAGGCATTAGAGCAAGAACAGAAAAATACCAGAATAGAAATTTAGTGTTAACAAACTAACCTCAGTAAATTAATACTGAAAATATATTAGTAGGACAAAAGGAGAGTTAAGATCACATAGGATTTGTGTATATGAGGAAGCTTATGAAAAGTAAGGTGCTCTTTAGCTAGAAGTATGAATGTAAAGCACATCAAACCCAACGTAGAATCTCCCATTCAGAAATAGAGGAAACTTAGTTCTACTTTGCTTCATTTTCCTCTAAAGATAAAAATTGGCCACTCTTGAAAAAAATCTAGAACATGCTTGTGTTTTCCAGTATGACAATATCTCTGTACCAATGTTTAAACCCTGATTTAAAAGACTTAAAAATGGAAATACTGAAAATATTTTTTCACTTAACTGAAAAAGTATTTTATATTCCTGATGTTTCTGAAGAACTGGATAATTGAGACTATTCTACTTCACAACTGTTATGTTTAAGGGTACTGACAAATATTATGCAGTCTTAAAAAAACTAGTTGCCATAATATTCCTAGATCTCAGTAAAGCTTGTTAATTAACAATATTCATATTAGTCACAATACAATGTGATAAAATGTGTTGGGTCCCCATGGTGCAATGTAGAGGTTTTCTGTTTGCTTTTTAAATTAGAACTTCATTAATGCTTTGTAGAGCCACAATGAGAATTCACTTCTCTGCGTTAGCCTAACCATGTATTATGTTAATAACGGAGCACTTGGATTCTTTCCAGTTTGATTCGAGTCACTATTAATAGGATGGAACCAAAAAGGTGAACCACTGTTTCTATCAATTTATAGTATAAAGCCATTTTTTGCTCCAGTTGTGTTTGCTTGGTTTTTTTTCCCTGTTACAAAACTAAATATAAGGTAAAACTGTATTTATTTAGCATATAAGTGCATCTTATTCAACAGGGCTGTAACGAAACACTCCCTCCTCCTGCACAGAAGCAAAATGAAAACAAAAAGTTATTCTTGTTCTGTTTATTTCCTTTTATTGAATTGAATTGTATATTTAGAGCAGGGATGCTCAAGCCTTGGCGCACAGGCCAGATTTGGCCCCTGAAGCCATGTTATCCAGACTGCAGGGCTTCCTACAGGTCTGAAAATTTGGCAGTGGGGGATAATTAAATTTCTGCTGCTAAATATCTGGAAACCTGGGGAGCCCCACAGGCCAGACAGCATGGCCCTGTGTACAAGACTTGTGAACAGTGAGGTGTGGTGCCCAAACTCAGAACGTCGGGCTGGGCAGGGGCAGCTCGATGCCGGGGAGGGGAGCAGCCAGGGTCCAATACCAGTGCAGGGGCCTGATCCTGGCACATGAAGCCAGACAGGGGTGGTGTGGAGCCCAACCCAGCACACAGGATCAAGTGGGGTACCAAGGCCTAATCCCGATGCCATGCAGGGACAGCATGGGGTGCCATAGCCCAATCCTAGAATGCAGGGCCCAATATCAGCATGCAGGGCCAACGTGGGAACTGATCTGATTGTACAGGGGCCACCTGAGGCCATGCAGGGCCCAATTTAGCCTGTGAACTGCCCCCAAACTACTTATCTGGCCTGTAGGGCAAAAAAGCTGAGGACCAATGGTTTAGAGTTCAGATGATAATTTGCCACACTAGACTATGTATGCAACGTATGGACTTCAGCATCTTACAACAAACAAACTTCTGAGATTTTACTAAGCTTAAAATATGCATAAGGATAACTACCGACTCTTGTAGAAGACTAAAATCCCCTTTATTCCAAACAGTGGAGATGATTGAGAATTCTTGCAGGACTACTTAAGGGGCAGTTGTGTCGTCCAGTACATTAAGAGCATATTCGGGGCCTATCTGATTTGTAACTGGTCTCATTCCCAATTGGAGATAAGGTGTCAGACAGAACAGACCAGGAAACTATGCCAGCGGTTTTCAGCCTGTGGTCTGCAGACCCCCGGGGGCCCACACACTTATGTCTCAGGGGTCCATGAAAAATTACTAAGATCAATCAAAAGTATATGAATCCCCAACACTTGCAATTCAAAGGGAGCCACATCTCCATTAAAAAATTTTTAGAAGTCTGCAAATGAAAAAAGGTTGAAAGCCACAGGACTATGCAGTGTAAGAAATGATCGCTTATCTTTCAGGGCTCTTTCACTCATATACAGCATGCACCTTTTCCTCAAAAATCATACCCCTCCTCCCCCAAAATAGGATGCATGATTTTCTATCAGGAATATAAGTTCTGTCAGGAACAGAAACTTTGATTCCTGCTTTACCCAGCAGCAGCACATTTCTACTCAGGCAAGCTGAGAGTCAATGGACTTAATGGCCCATGTTCTTCACTCCATAGGTGTTAATAAATCGCCTCTGCTCTTTAATAGTCTTGATGTTCTACTAATCAGGCTAACCTTTCTTTTGGCAATTTTGCTGTCTGCTAGTCACTTCTGGTCTCCCTGCCCCCTTTCACAGCATTGCAGATGGTTTTTAGCTCTTTTCAAAATTGTAGATCCATCTATGGAAACCAGTCATCAAGTAGCAGATAGGGCAGCAGGGGCCAACCTTTATGGCAGGCTCACAAATTAAACTTCTTGCCCTCTGTGACTGCCACTCTGATCCCTTTCCCATTTCTGATCAGCTGTTTTGTTTTTGCTCCCAGCCCTGTGCTCCCTACCTGATCTGCTGCTCTACTTCTTGCCCAATATGATCTCTGCTTTCTGCTGCCTGCACTATCCTTACTGCACTGCATGCCCTCTTCCCCATCTGCCATGTGCTGCCTACACCATAAAGGCTGCCTGTCATTTGTGACACATGTGCTGCAGGCTGGCAGCCCCTACTTTGGGTTAAGCAGGAAAGGGAGAGTTAGTGGGTACATCTACACTTGCTATCAATGCACAGCAATAAACTCAAATGCATATCTTGCCAAAGTTTATTGCTCCCAGGCACATAATTTGAATGTGTGTCCAGTACCACACCATGCTGAGACAGGTCGGACCAGCCCCAGCTGGCAGGA